TCTGCCTCTGATTCCCACACACTCCTCTTTGAAGCAGCTCCCTGGCAGTCTGTCTCCTTGAGCATCCAAAACACATCAAACTGTGTTTTACCAGAATACAGTTGTGTCTCACCTAAGGTCAAGAAGCAAAGTGCGCATGAAATCTGTCTGGTAAGATATTAACATTATGATCTTCTTTCATGCAAATGTGCACAGGAGCTTACTGATCAATTATCATCAAACAAAGTTGGAGGTTTGCATCCCATTAAAGCAGTGGCTCCCATTTCCCAAAAACAAACATATTTCTGATGCAAAAATTAGAAATGATTATTTTTTTGTTTCAAATACTGGACAGTTTCGCCTCTCAGGACACTAAAATGAATTGGAAAAACCAACTGACAAATCCCTCACAGCTCACTGACGCAACCTGCGACAACGGGCATCAAGTAGATTTCACTTTGGTAGATTTTACTGTGTTATTGTTTGGGGTCCCACAGAACCGGCATGGAATGGCCATGAAGCATTGTTGTTACAAAAAATAAAGATGTAAGAGAATTCGTGCCTTCCATTGTTCTGCCACAGGCACTTGGTGTCTGTTGCTACTAGCAACCACTACTGGCAACCGTTCTGTAGCGGTTGTGTAACTGACACTGTTGCATCCACCATTTTCTCAGATTTGTGACTTTATCTACTCCTCGAATGCCCTTGTTGGAGCATTATCTGTACGTACTCTTTTTTTTATTACAGCTGTTTTTTGACACTGTCATTTTGTGATTTACTAGAATTTTGTTTCCCTATTCAGCTTACTGACCAAGCTAGCCACTATATTAGCTGGCTGGAGCTAATGTGTAATGCTGCTGAATTATCATTGGAACAGTTCAAATTGATTTTTCACTGGTGATATTTTATTTAACTAATTTGATACTTTTGTGAATCAAATTTCCTTGTTACTGTACTAATTCATTTTTTAAACTTCATGGTCTAATTCTTGTTTGTGGAATCTAATTGTTTTCAGATTTATAATCGCTGTCATTGTTGTCAAACTGCTTCCAGTAAAAACCACAAAGGAAATCTGCTGTCGTCAACTTTTACTGGAAGTGTGTTTAGCAGCTGTGCACCAACGCATAACCAGTGATACGCTGGATGAAGATAAAAATGATACAGCCTTCACATGGACATATTCATATTATATTTTCTCAGTCTTTCACAGACAAAGAAATGTCCAGTTTTATGCCACATATTATGGTACAAAGTGATGTTATTTATGTTAAGGTCCAACTGAGACGTCAAACTCTCTGTTGGGCCTCTTATTAAAACTACATAAACAGAAATTCGGGTTATATAGTTATTTGGAAATTTGGAGTTATTGCTGCATAAAAAGTACTTTTACCATAAATCACAGACGTAGAGTGGATTTAACTGTGTTACATGTTTATTCTTAGTTCACTAAACAAGACCAAACAAGGCCAGAAGTGAAGTTAGTCACACAGCAGATTCAGCTTTAATTCATCTATGAAATGCACGTAGGCTGGGACACTGATGTACAAATATTACAAGTAGAAAACCATCAGTTGCCTCAGCAGACAATCTACTAGGAGATTCTGATGAAAATCAGTCGCACTGAGGAAGGTAGACAATTCTTCTGTGTGATGAAAGTGTTTCCCCCAGCTGGATATAAAACCTACAGAGAGACCATCTGTGTTGGTGGAACTCCTACATAGCACATATCACCTCCACTGACTAACAACTGGCTGGGTGGGAGCAGAACAAGCACCTCTGCTGGTACAACTCAACTGAATACTCACCAGAAGAAAGCTTAACAGGCTAAATATAGATTGAATGCACTAAATAACAATTTCCTGATTCTAAGTGGCAGCACCAACTTTCCTTACCACTGTCTCAAGGCTTTTTTTATCCTGCCTTTGTGTGCTTCTCTTTATCTACATCTCTTCATGACGGGTGTATAATGACGGGTGTTTAATGATGTGTGTTTAATGATGGAAAACAAAGGGATAATGTTTGTATCTTTCTTATCTTATTTCTTGACTCTTACATGGTTAAGTAAGAAGAACAACTGCAGCACAAGTTGCTTTGACTTTGAGGCGCTGGATTTCAACTTCCTCCTCTTTGTCTTTTCATTTTATAAGGAATAAGCCTGCTTAAGTCCACTGAGATCTCATTGCTGCTGCTGCTGCTGCTGCTGCTCTTTGATAGTTTTTCTCTGAATGTGCTTTGAATGTGAGAGCAGTTTAGTGCTGGAGTAAACCTGTCTCATCACATGGGCAGAGTGACAGCATACAGTAGAAAAACAACTTCTTGCCGTAAATATAGTCGCTTCTACTGACCTTAAGTGACTATATTTACGGCAATCACTCTGCTAAGGACAAACTAAGTGTGTAGATGACTTCCATAACCACAGCAGCCACACATACCTGCCGTTAGTGCACCACACCTATGAACCTGCACACTGTTTCCTTCGTGTGCACAAGTTTCATTATGCAAGGGGAAACTGAGCTGCATTGGTACAAAGACATTTTGACAACCTGCAGTATTTGAACAGAGCAGCACGCAATGACTACTAAGATAGCTGGTTAATGGCACCAACACCTCACAACATGACAGGAACAGCGTAAAAACACAGTATGGCAATCTTGTGATGCAACATATGTCACTGCGAGGCTATAAAATATACAGACATAGAGTGAATTTAATTACGTTTTACAGTTAGGTGTCTGAGATCCCAAACAGAGGTATAGATTTCCGAAACAAGTTATCAATTCAAAATCATATTTATACACAATATTCTAAAATTAGGACAAATAATTTAGTACCGAGCTGAAAAAAGTCTGTTTTTTGAGCTGTCGAAGAGGCCCAAGATCTCCAGGACCGAAACCAGAACATTAGGGTTAAGGGGCCACAAGCCAAAAAGGTTGGGAACTTTCACATTAGCAACCCCCCCCCCTACTGCACCGTGCCCTCCTTTTCAACAAGCTGACTTGGCAAACATTCTCGAACACTCTCGCTGCCGCTGATGGGCTTGTTCGCGCTCCCAAAGAGATCACTTTGTCCTCAGCTGCCTAAAGTCCACACTGGTAATAATTCCCACGTCAGAAAACCAAGGCAAAGCCCGGGCACACCTGGCTCATTGCGCAGGCGGCCCCCTTGTAACTGTGCTGATATTAATCAGCTAAATTACCACGTCCGCTTTAAGCGATACACTGCCCGTCAGTCCCAGGCTGTGTCCTGTGAAGATTAACTAGGCATTACACTCAGTGACTGTGAGTGTTAGACTCACAGTAACATTTACAATCGGAAAGGGCACTGACATAACACTGTCCATGTGTGCTTATTTATTTATTAAGGGGGGACTGAGAAGATGCATCAAGATTTGGGGAAGTAAGACGTCACTCCATGAGGTCAGCCAGTTTTTTTTTTTTTTTTAAACTTCTCTCTCATGTTCGCTCTCGTTCTCTTCAACACCTCACGTTAAACGACATTTGGCTATATTTTAGGAGTGATTTAATAGCACTGCTGATACAATGTGAACTTGCTGGACAACATTAGATGAGTCACGCATGATTCACTTGCATGAATCACGATCAAAAACAGAAACACCAACACATACAGAACACCGCCCAAACTCTTCTCAAATGCAATGGCTTTTTTTCTCTCTTTTTTTTTTTTTTTTACAGTTTAAGCAAGAACCTAACACTTGCAGGCGGGTGACAGCTGAAATTAAGCCTTTGGGAATACATTGTTTTCAGCCAACAAATGGCTGAATATTCAAAATACAAACCGGTGTCATAACTTAGTTAGAACTTTCTTTTCACTTCCACCCCATATGTCAAAGTCATTTTTGTTTGCTTGACAAAAAATCTGTGAAACTCTGCTGTTATCATGTTCTTCATACCAGAACAATCCACATTACTTCCCCCTTGGATATTCAAAACGAATATAGTCCCCTCTTTTCACGCAGGTCCGTGTTGCTGATTCAGGTGTTTTGAAATCACTGAGGCAGCACAGCTTCCCCTTGGTACACACTCAGTCAGCTGATTCACCACAACCCAGCAAAGCCGCTTTAGTCACATCAACAGTGTTTTAAACACTCCCAACCTGCACTCTAGTATAGTGCAGTTGCAACCCTACACAACAGACCACACATACGTGAGCTCCAACATAATTCAGATCTTTATTATCACTACAGCGTGAAAGGACAAATGTGGGAACATGGTGACAGATGGTGAGCATAAAAAAAAAGAAAAGAACTCTCAAAGAGGCTAACGTCTTAGCCAGCTCCACTTCTGCCTGCTCCTCCATCTGTAATTGAACTGGGAAAGCACCAAGAGTTTGTTTATCCAGGTTTAGGAGAAAATCTCCAGTAAACGCGACACTGTTGTCGTCCCCATTATCGAAAGACCCAGCGACTTGTAACAGGGACAAGAAGGGACGTTGACGAGCATCCCATCCTGTGTGGCTGTGTTTCCCCCTGAGGTTTCAGTGTTGTCATACACTATGTGGATCTGCTATATGCGCGAACGAGGATGCGGAGTCATCATTTCAAATTAGTTTGACAGTGGATAGTGCGTGAGACGTGCTGGAGATTAGATCTGCTCAGTAGGTAATAACATTAGCTTGCTCTCTTCTCAGCCATGTGTGCGCATAGAGGTTTAAGTCGTGCTTAATGAGAGAGCCTCCTTAGCCACAAAGAGCTCCCTCTATTTCTGTCCAACTGTTATCACTATCTGGTGGAGGCATGTGTTTGTGCCAGTGGTCACACACACACACACACACACACACACACACACACACACACACACACACACACAGTGGATCAACAGGTTTCATTCTTCCAAAACTCACGAGAACTCATTCAAAACTCAACGGGGATGACGGCTTAAGACGACAAGCATTGTTGTCGCAGAGTTACAGCATTGCTCTTATGCTACAACACCAACCGACCAACAAAAAAAAACGATGCATCATGCATTATAAAAAGGCCCACAGTTGTGACTTTACTTTACCTTGAGCTTCTTGGTGCGCCTTCACAGCTGGACACAAGAACGTCTGAAGGCTGGACACGCAAAGTTCACTTACTGTCCCCATAGCTTCAGTGTGTAATGTGTGTATCTGCGTGTGAAGTTATGCCTCCGTTAGTGGCGACTCAGCTTGAGATGCAAGGGGGGAAAAAGCACAGTTGCAGAGGGCCAGGCTTCCCCGCTGCGGCTGCTGAGAGTCACTCTGAGCTCCCGGCCGTTCAGTCCATGGAGAGACTCCAAGTGTAAGGTCCTGCTCTGGGTGTCACTCTGCTTCACCTAATCCTGCTAGTTGGATGACTGCTCCACTCCACCGGCCAACCTCTCCCACTCACCTACTTTCTGTTCCCCTCCTCGATTAGAATGTGCAACTTGCAAGGACTGTGATATCACTTCTGCTTTCTCCCTGTTCCCCTTTTCCTGCTGGTGTCTCAGCCTCTCTCTATCGTCCTCTGCTCTTTCTCTATTTATCTTTCTCTCTCTCTCTCTCTCCTTTCTCTCCCACTTGCACTCCCTTGCTACTTTCCATACTAATTTAAGCAGATATTCTCAGACTTAAACACATTGCACATACAAATGAAAAATTCAGGGTGTGTTTTAAAGCATATGTTAATGTGCCTTAAGGACAGCGCTCCTGTTTTCTATTACTTTGGCTGTAACCAACAAAATGTAGAAGCAGAGCTACGTCACAGGGCAAACCAATTAGAGAAACAATTAAGGAGAAAGATTTTCTGTTCATCAGATTCACGGCGAACTATCGGCAGCACATCGCTCTGTTTTGTGCGGTGTTTGAGTTCCATTTCTACCCTCTGTTGCTCTTAGTTTCGAGTCACTCGTCATTTTTGGCTTCAAAAGCCTTGTACATAAAAATCAAGATTTCATTGTTGCTTGGCAACGGGATAGAAGAAATGATTTGCTCCTGGGCAAAACACTGCCAGCAATTTGTTTTGATTTGATTATTTTCACACCTATTTGAGGTTATTCACCATGACACAATCACATTTTGGGGTCTTGGAGCCACACACACACACACACACACACACACACACACACACCACGCATACACAACAAAATAAACTGTCCTGGTTCTGCCACAGATGTGTTTATAATCGACGAAAATTGATTTCATTTTGGATTTTCACTTCCTCTTGTGGCGCAAAGCAGAAATGTTTACCTCCACTCTTAAAACCGATGCCACTCTGAATTACCGTGCCTGTCAATCACTCAAAGGGTGTCACACTCATCATCGTCATTCAGCCTCACTCATTAATTAATTTTTTTAACTCTGCCCTCTCTGTCAATCACGGTGCTATAAAGGGCGGCATGTCAGCCACTCGGGCTAGGTGGCAATTACTTACCAAGGTGGATCTGACACATACTGCATTTCTACAATTCCTGGCTATGACATCACCTCTGATCTAATAGTCATCACCCAGTTTATTGCCAGGGGGCCGAGTGACTCCCCCCCCCCCACAAACTGCAAAGTCAGTCCTGACCACTTTAAAATGCTGCAGCTGCACATCACCGAGAGAAGCAGCCCTGTCATGAGAGGAACAGCCATACCGCACACAGTGAAGTCAGCACAAATGCTTCTCTTCTCTTTTTTAGTATGCATATTCCTCTGCTCACCTCCACGTTACCTCTCCAAACAAGAGTGTGTTGTCAGCAACTTGCTGAGCACCTGCAGTGAGTATAAAAAAGTAAACAGGTGGGTGGATGATAGATAGATAGATAGATAGATAGATAGATAGATAAGATAGATAGATAGATAGATAGATAGATAGATAGATAGATAGATAGATAGATAGATAGATAGATAGATAGATAGATAGACTCATATGGTCTAGCAGGTTATTCTAAGTACAATACATATTTAGAGAAGTAAAGTACCAATTGCAGTCACTGAAACGCTTGGAGCAGCCTGAACTGAGTGAGTGGGTGCCCCATTGGGTGTTTATCTCGTGCACGAAGACAATGGTTTCACCATTTTCATTCTCCAGATCTATAGGTGGTGGTAATGAGCAAAGATCTACAGCAATGCACCAGCAAAGACCAGCCAAAGAAGACTGCCAGCAAGTAAACATGGAATGTAAATAATGCAGAAAATCTTTCGTTGCAGCTTTTTTTTTACTGAGTAACACTGAATGAAAACACGACTTTTGCCTGTTTACAAGAAAACTCAACAGGTCACCTTTAAGCATAGGTGCCCAAAGTGCTGATACACAATAAGGTATTGCTGTTGGAGCTTTTGGATGATTATTTGATCACAAAGACAGCTTTGTCCAGAACTGTCTAAAAACAGTATTAAATTAACTTTTCAGTTTAGTTTTAGTTTATTCAGATTAAAACACAACATAAATATTAATTCATGTGCTCAGTCAACTGTGGATAGTCAACAGTCTTGCCAAACAAAGAAACAGTGTGGGAAATATGTTGCTGTCTGCCCACCCTAATAGCATAATTGCTATAAAACTAATGTAATAATGTATTACTATTAGAGCATTAACGCTGTATAAACTTTCACTTTAATTGCTTTCCTGTAGCTAATTCTGCAACCTCTACTTCCAGTTAAAGGGTATTATTTGAAAAAAAACAACTTCCCCATAACAATCAATACATTTTCACATTACATCTGTGAAACATCTGTAGCAACCACATGTAAATAATTAAATTTGCATGTGCATCACATCTTCATTTAGCCGAACTAGTGGCTGCTGAGATTTCCTCTGCACAGTGCTGCGTATGTAGTCTTGGCCTTAAACTGGACCCAAATGAACACTTTACTTGAGCAGTTATGCATACATGCCACCAGGTGGACATAGTATGGAACAACACCTTTATTCTTAGTTCACTTAAACAAGCCAGACGGCTTCAGTCACACACCAAGTGAAGTTTGCCACACAGCAGATTCAGCTTTAATTCATCTATGAAATGCACGTAGGCTGGGACACTGATGTACAAATATTACAAGTAGAAAACCATCAGTTGCCTCAGCAGACAATCTACTAGGAGATTCTGAGGAAAATCACTCATGTGTTTGTTGCACTCAGGAAGGTAGACAATTCTTCTGTGTGATTAAAGCATTTCTCCCAGCTGGATATAAAACCTACAGAGAGCTCGCTGATCTGTGTTGGTGGAACTCCTACATAGCACATATCACCTCCACTGACTAACAACTGGCTGGGTGGGAGCAGAACAAGCGCCTCTGCTGGTACAACTCAACTGAATACTCACCAGAAGAAAGCTTAACAGGCTAAATATAGATTGAATGCACTAAATAACAGCTTCCTGATTCTAAGTGGCAGCACCAACTTTCCTTACCACTGTCTCAAGGCTTTTTTTATCCTGCCTTTGTGTGCTTCTCTTTATCTACAGCTCTTCATGACGGGTGTTTAATGACGCATGTTTAATGATGGAAAACAAAGGGATAATGTTGTATCTTTCTTATCTTATTTCTTGCCTCTTACATGGTTAAGTAAGAAGAACAACTGCAGCACAAGTTGCTTTGACTTTGAGGCACTGGATTTCAACTTCCTCCTCTTTGTCTTTTGATTTTATAAGGAATAAGCCTGCTTAAGTCCACTGAGATCTCGCTGCTGCTGCTGCTGCTGCTGCTTTGATAGTTTTTTCTCCAAATGTGCTTTGAACGTGAGAGCAGTTTAGTGCTGGAGTAAACCTGTCTCATCACATGGGCAGAGTGACAGCATACAGTAGAAAAACAACTTCTTATAGATCAGTAGCGACTACTATTTACATCAATCACTCTGCTAAGGGGGAGGCAAACTAGGAGGATAGATGACACCCATAACCACAGCAACCACACGTACCTGCCGTTAGTGCACCACACCTATGAACCTGCACACTGTTTCCTTTGTGTTTCATTATGCAAAGGGAAACAGAGCTGCATTGACAGGTAGATGGCAAAAAGCACAGGAAAAGAAAAAAAAAGATAAGACAAAGACATTTTGACAACCTGCAGCTTTTGAACAGAGCAGCACCCAATGAATCCTACGATAGCTAGTTTAAAAACACAATATGGCAATCTTATGATAAAATTTAAAAGCGCTGCGACATATGTCACTGCAAGGCTATAAAATATACAGATCATCCTCAGGTGCACTCCAAGTCTCCACCAATATAACAGTTCTTGTTGCACAAGTCTAGTCTACATTATTAATAAAATAGAATAAACAAAGTGAAAGTCAAGTCTTGACAGCGGATGTATTACTTCTATCTTCTCCTCTTCTCAGACTTCAATTATGCTGAACAGTCACGGTGCTCAGGGACAGAAGAGATGATACGACTTATACTTACTCATTCAGATCCACAAGCCGCTGATTTGACTAAGGAGGTGTCAGGGACTGCAAGAGTGTTATTTGAATGTGCTGGGAGCTTCAGCACATCCCTTCTCTTATGCCTCACACTTTAGCACATACTTACATAATCGTTGACTGATTATTCGGCTGAATTGCAAACAGGGAAAAGCACCGACAAGGGAAGGGAACATTGCAAATATCTGATAATGCTTCTTGGGAGCAAACGCAGTGTATGGGTCATCCTGAAGTCCCTACTGGACCCTGCATATGTCTAATGTGTAAAATACAAACAAGAGGAAAATATTTTAGATAAAGGTAAGGGAATCATTAGTATAAATGACTCAAGTACAGAGTCAGAGCACAAAATAACACTCTCAACGCTGTTTTCCTACGTAGATTCGATTACAACTTTTTTTTTTTACATCCCTTATATGTGACTCATTCAAAGTGATGAGGGGTACCAGCCCTCCCCTCTTTTTAACAGAGCATCAGTTGAAAGCAATGAGGCCATTGCTGGCGGTTTCTATTTTGAGATGCATTAAGCTCCCAGAAAAAAAAAAACCTGCTAAATAATTGAGACGAAGCCTCTATCTTAGCCCAAAGTGAGCCATCAGCTAGCTCATCACGGCCTCACATCATCACTGAAGTTCCTGTAAAGATGTTTTTTTATGAGACGGCATTTATGAGAAACTGTGTCATCTAAAGAGCCCATGCACCTCAGACTAGATGGTATAAATAAATCCGTTGGTATCTTGTTAATTCCCACGAGAGCAGGAACTTTTTCTATTTTTCACTGCATTCATTCCACTGTGTAAATATTGGTTTCTACAGTGCCCAGCATGCTGTCATAGCTGCAGTGTGATGCTTAATAATTCATCATACAGATCCTTTATATATATATATATATATATATATATATATCCCTTTTGGCTGTGAATACTACAGAGGCCACCTGTTTTTAAGCTGGCTTCTAAAAAAACAACTGGGTACT